TCGTTCTTTTTTCTTATTTGAACATAAAAAGTTTGTTCACGTATGTAACTCACTTTAAAAAGTTCTGAATTAAGTTACACTTTGAATGCAAAGTTCTGTTTGAATTATTGAATTATCCGGTGAAGTATATCCAGTAAATATGAATAGCATTAAATATATTAATTAATATTCTGACACGAGGCGACGTGTGCAATAAACATTAGAGCCGTGTGTTCTCGTCACGTTATTTCATTCCTCGCGATTCAACATAAACTTTTACAAAGCTTGTGTTGAAGAAGTAAAATGGTAATTTTTCAATTATTCTAAGTAACTTTGGACGATTATGTTTCTTTTTAACTGTACTTTATTTCACGCTGCATTGTACACCGTGAAAGTTTGTACCCGTATTTCTTTTTTATAGTAATATTTGATGTATAAGGCAATAAAGTTTTTTGTAATATTGTTTGACGCGTAAAAAATACGCGTTACTATAAATTATTTCATTAAATATAAAATACTTTAATAGATTTATACTAAACTCAATATATTATATCCTATATATTACCAACCCCGGCTTCACACGGGTGTACATGTATTGTATAAACCTTCTTCTTGAACACTCTATCTATTAAAAAAAACGCTTCAAAATTCGCGTAGTTTTTTAAGCATACATAGGGACGGACATCCGGAGAAAACGACTTTGTTTTATGCTATGTAATAATGATTTATAAAGTATTAGTATTTTTACTTGCAATGAAATTATAAGTGTGGTTCGGTTAGTACTGAGATTTATAATTTATTTCCAGACTGTCAAAACGAGTGTCATATTTTGATTGCATATATATGATATGTATGTATTTGCATGTTAATTTAGCTATACCGGGTTTCGGGTAATGATATTTATTGAATAAATTATGTTTATTTTATTTATTAAAACTTCTTTGTATACTATGTATATTAAATAAAATGTTCAGGTTAATATATAAGAAACGTGGTTTTCTATTAGCCAAATATTCTCAAAATTGGTTTAGTAGATCCAAGATTGCTAACAAACTCACAAACTTTACCTCTTTATAATATTAGTATATATTAATATAATAGAAATATACTTTCACGTATTGTCTACAATTCAGACAATTTTAAATTCATCGTCTTTTAAGAATACTAAAATTTATTTATAATGTAACAAGCAGAACTCTCTGAAATGTTTTATATTAATGACCACAACTATTACACTAAGTCATTTTATTTTTTAAGCAAGCTAACAAGAATCATTACTGTCTGTACATATAAATCTATAAATCATCCTCAAGAAGCCTATTATTTCACGATTTCTATTGATATTTAAATTATATAGAGCCCGAATGAACTATATTATAAATTTATACTATTATAATTACTATGACTAGTCTTTGTACTATTTACAATGAAATTTAACATTTTCTCTCTTAATGCATAATTGTTCAATTTAAATAGCTACAATTTATTATAATACAGGCATGGAAATTGGGTATTTTTATTATTAGTTACATAAACTGTAAATATTATTTTATCGAATAGATTTAAAAAAATATACCTTTCAACATATATTAATGACCGTAACAAAGATCGTAACAGAACCAATCCGCTGTAATTAACGATATGACAACTTTGACTGATGTGGATTTATTCTTAGATTGTGGTATATGCTATAGAAATCATAACAAAATTGACCGTTCTTTGTTACGTAAGGTCATATAGCTTCACAAACATGATACTGCGTGCGAGAACCCTTAGAAACCGAAGAGGTACACCAGGTGCCCGACCTTTCAATGTTATATGAGATTTAAGTAGGAATTTAGTAAGGTTTCTAATATATATACTTTTATATACAGATATAACCTTTTGTATATAATATACCATATGATGCTACTACTACAAATTGTCATAGAGTCAATGTAAATTGTGTACTAACTCACAATTACAGCTAAAATACATTCCTAAATTCGATTAGGTCATTTAGTATTTAGAATTCCATTTGATATTCAAATCTGGAACTTCCGCCATATTTAAATATTTAAATTCAGAAGATTTCCTTTTCATATTGAAACTTCATTTACTTTATCTGAGATATTAATATTTATTATCAATTAATTCAGAAATCTCAGTACTTACGTACCGGTATCTATGCGAGTGAGATGTTTCAATTCAGACCAAAAGTATTACTTTTGTGAGGTAATGAAACAAAATCATAGAGTATAATTATTTTCATTAATTTAAGAAATCTCCATAGTTACAAACGTTGACAAGGACATATTTTAACTCTTTCCATAATGAGCAGTGTACTGTGGATTAAGAGCTTTCACTTTGTACATATATATCTGTGGTGTTACAAAATATATATATTTACCAAAAGGGCTCACAGCGAAAGAAAAGTAACAACAACTAGTCAAAAGTGACATATACAAAACAAATATCAAAAATACAAAGTTTATAAAAAGATTGGTAGACAAGCTGCCAGCAATAATCATACTCATAAAATGATATGTTTGTACCGTGCGAGTAATCGTACCCGCGATCATCGAAAGTAAATCGGCGTGCTTAACCGCTACACCACCGAGAGTATAAAGAATTGTTTCACGTACGACGGTAACAAGTATTTAATCTGTCTAATATTAAATTGTACCTGCGAGTATTATACATATTAATAAACAATTATTTTATAAGCGGTGTGCGTGGTGTGCGGGATTTCCAAATCACGTGGAAAGATTTATTGTTCTGAGGGATTTTCCTGTCCCATACAGTTGCCATATCATGGTCCAATTTTAAGTAATTTTATGGTTCAATAAAATATTTTCTTAGACGACTTTAGAATTATAAATACTCATAATTTAGGTATGACAATATTGTTATTTATTGGCAATACCTGTACGTATAAAGTTATTAATTATATGTTTAAAATTAATTCAATAAAGTTTCAATTATCTGTCAATATACTAGAAAGTAGTTATTGAAAAAGAATTGGCAAGAAAGTCGACAGCACGATAAATATCTTTACAGAAATAAAAAGGAGAAGAGTGGTAATTTTTTTAAGAATAAAGAAATGTGATTATTGTATATGGGGCCCTCCCCGGAGGGGTGTCACTATTAATATTGTATACAGAATACAAAAATTTTTAGACTATCGTCTCAATCATAAAGTCAAAAGTCAATCAGCCAATTCTCATCCTATAATCTTCCACAATAACAAAATGTATATACGTATGTTATACAATGACATATTGTTATGCAAAGTCTTCCATGACGACCGTTAATTATTGCGATAATCTAAAAACTACTGAACGTATTTTCAAGCAAATTTTTCTATCAACAGACTGATAGGGAAAGGTAGGGTAGGTTATATAATTTATTAATATTATGTTCAAATTATTTGAAATACTCTTCAGAAGGCCGGACGAGATGCTACTTAGTATATACAAAAACATATCTATACATATAAATTAGATTGAAGTGTCTGTTTGTAATATTGAAATAACCGTTTTTTACTACATGCATATGAATATAAATACGGTACATACACCAAACTAATATTTTTTATAATTTTTGTCTATTTGGTCCGGCTAATCTCTGAAAGGGCTGGACCGATTTTGATGGTACTTTTTTTGGCAGGTAGATGATGCAATAAGGAATAACTTGAGCTACTTTTATTTTATAAAAAGTCTATTATTTATAAAAAATTAAGTTAAATTCCACGCGGACGAATACGCGGGAACAGCTAGTTTTAAATAAAAAAAACGTCAATAATTATGCATGATATTTTAAATTTAATCAACTAACGCGATTCACTTCTGTCCTTCAAATCCCATTAAAATTAAAACCAACTGTTTTGTACGCGGTACATAATTATATTTATTTTATTACGACACGACACGAAACGTCCAAGGCTAGGCACTATGCATATTTGTTCCATTTGTGTTATATCTCATTTGATGAGCGGCATGAAATTCTATAAATTTTAGAATTTAAATATATTAGCTGTTCTGAAAAAAAATCAACCTATAAACTGCTGATTTTAAACGCGCACGTGACACCCCTGGTGTTTCAGGCGGCCATAGGCTACGGTAACCATTTACTTTCAGATGGGCCGTATGCTTGTTTGCCATCATAGTATAAAAAAAAATGAGAGAGAGTGAAACAATTACTACTAGCATTGCTTTGCTATATATCTGAGAAATATTTGTCACAAATAGTTGTTTATTATACCTCATAATTATCGATGCCATTAACTAAACTTCCAGGATTTTATTTAGGAGTATTTTTTTTAATAATCTGTTCTCTACGACATATTATGTATAACGACATAATAAAAAGTTTTACGGTAATACGAATACTCATATGTATATATTTTAATACAAAACATTACAATGATTTCTAGTTTGGTCGAAGAGTCCAAATTAAAAACTTTTAAAATTTATACAGTAACTATTTTTTTTTTATTTTATTAGCATGATAACAACTATATTTTGTTTCTTATAAAACAAACCGATATTCATTTTTTGGCGAAGATAAGGATCGCGAAACGTAACATACAAAAAATATACCAAAATTGAGAAACTCTTCTTCTTTAACATAAATTGAAAATAGAACGTATTTTACGGATATCCTAAAACTTGTTACAATATCGTTATTGACATTATATATTATTTCATGTGACAAAGAAAAATATATTATTGTATATTTTAAAACTTAACAAAATTCTTATTTTTCCAGAACGACTGCTTATATGCTTAGATTTTTGTAATTGACAGCATAACTTTCATGTTAGTATCGTACTAATTTCATACGACAATCTTTATAGAACAAAATAACCTTATTATAATTCCAAATCAACATGTAAATTTTTTATATTATTTAAAAGTAGCAGCTAAATAACATAACACCTAACCTTTACGCGCATCACGCGCGTAAAAAACTTTCATCGTGTTAAAGGATAAAATATGTCACTCTAACATAAATGGCATGAAAAATAAAACATTACTAACCTGCAATATTAATGCTGCCAAGCAAAAGTGTCCAAAGTGAGAGCACCCGCGTCGGACTGGCCCGCGAACACTCCATTTTATTTCCCAACAAACCAGTCACAAAATAAAATATTCTGAACACTTCACAAAATCTCCAAGATTACATTTCCACTGGAATCGTTGTTTATTCATCTTAAACTCCCCAGTCGTTCTGAAACAACGGAAAAGTCAAATTGAAAATTTGTTAATTTTTTTTTCCCTTATTGCTCTTTGTTAATTACGCAGTTTACAGAAACTTCGTGTTGGGACAGGGTTTGTTTAAATTAAGTCTATGATGGATGGTGAATTAATTATTTACTGAAAGGAAATTTACGGAAATGGATCCACAAAAATTATATTTTATTTCAACAATGCGATACACACAATAGCCTTTTACTTATAAAATCATGATGATAACATTGCCTATGTTAATGGTATGCCTTAGTGAGTACCAGTACATCATGAACGAAGAACGATGCAATCTGACCATTAACCTATAGCCTATACCAAAACAATATCGTCCTCTGAGGAGAAAACGTGCCAAGCCGTAGGACGATAAATGGCGTGTTATGCTGTAGTAATATGAAGTATTATATTTTAATACTTACTCATATGAGTAAATTATGTTCCTCGAATTACAGTTAATTTGGCAGTCATATATAAAATCAACTACTAATCTCAGTAGTAAGCTCGTTATGAATACAAGTACCCAAAGTTTATGCTCTAATTCGGTGAATATTGTTGACTAAACTGAACTATGTACCACTAAAGTTCGTACCTATACACGACGACTGCAGTGATTTCCCAAATATTTTTTCAATAGATATTATTATTATCTATATATATATACGAATATTTTATAACGTTTTGTTTAAAATACACATACATACATATATATTATATATTATTCATTTATCTCTGCTTAGAATTTCATTACTGAAATAAAACTGACTCAAAATACGCTAGATGAGAATTTGAAATCAACAACAAAATAACTGAAGCGCAACAAGGCTACTTTTGGCTAAAGAATAAAACATAAGAAGTCCAGATCTAGTCCAAAGAAGTAGAGGAACGATAATTGTGATATAGAAAGTCCTATCTAATTATATATTTAATTCTGATTTTTATTAATTGTTTATATTAATTCTACATACTAATCAAATACCTATTAACTTATATCTCCAAATGTTATGATCAGTAAATGATTTAGTAATTATGTCAGCCACATAATAATGAGTTCAAATGTAACAAATCCACTTGTTTATTTTTATTCTAAAGTTGCTATGCCCATCTCCTAGTATCATCATGTGACAATATCCATATTACTTTAAATATTAATACATTCCAATCGAAGTTAGAAATGTCATTGTGTTCTAGATTTCAAATCAATAATTTGGAAAGTATAAATTCAAGCCTAAAATATAGTAGGTATATATATATTCTATATATTCACAACGATACTTTAAATAACAATGAGTATAAACTTTGTTACCAAAAACAATATTTATATACTAATATATAATACATAATTCACTTTTCTTTTAGACCTTACAACATTGGCGAACAGATTACATGTGACACAAAAACCTTGCGCGCAATAGAAGACAGCGCAGCATCACGACCCTCGGGTCAACAGATAAACCATACGACCATCAATCTTCATATTTTCGCACCAATGTCTGACAACGGCAATCCGTCTTACTAAATTGCTGCTGTATACCATTTCTTACAAATACGATTTGCTATTGAAGTTTTATCAATAACTGAAAAATGTCGCGGAATTGGAACAGAGCCAAAACTGTAATGCGTTTTTAATAATATTCCAGTATGAGATGCACTGCTGAGTTTCATTATAGTCTATTTATGATATCATCTGTTTTTTATTCAGCTTTTAATATTATTCTGGGAATAATTTGATAGTATTTTAGGTATTACTATTATAAAGATAATAGTGAATATCGACGAATACCCATTGTTAATCAAGCATAGCATGGAAGACGGCTGGACTACGAAAAAGGCCTTACTAAGTCCCTTTGTTCCACTCTACACCTTTCACCTACATATCCAGTTGTTTACAGAAACGTGTGCAGCTATAAATTTACAGTAGAATAGTTTTATGTTGCAAACTATTTATTAATTTATTTATAAACTCATTATTGCACCAATAGAATTAATACATAAGAATTATACAGAAAAGAGATAATGGAACTACAAAAGGCGGTCTTATCGCAAGAAGCAATCTCTTCCAGACAACCTTTAGATAGAGAAAATACAACAAAAGTGGTAGGTGGCCCATAAATAGAATGGAAGAATATATATAAAGGTAATAGGGATAGGATATAATAAATATTAGAAAATAACACACATTATATATATAAATATACTATACGTACGTACATTCATGACATGCACGTACATATATACATAGTATACATATAGTATACTATGTACATACAGTATATAAACTATGGCACATGTTATCTTGTCTGTCTTCTGTCCGATGCAGAATTTAACAGATGCCAATCAAAATCTAGTTTCAGCGGCTAACTTCTGGGCTGTACAGGTATAATTGATTTGTCTCGTCATTGTCTGGCTGAGAATAGTGATATTTAGTATTGTTTATTCTTAGATATTGCTTCTGGTTAATATAACATTCAGTTATGAAATAACGTAAATAACTGCAGTTAAGAAATGTTTATAATTTATGACAATTTGCATATACTAGTAATGTATGTCGTGAATTGCCTATTTTTTTAGTTGTCAACATTGTAAATTTCAATCAAATAACAAAAAATAAGTGAGTAAAATTTTACTAGGTACATATATATATAATATTGCACAAAAATATACAAGGTTATACAAGTTGCAGCAGCGCACAAGTAAATTTTCACTTTAAATTGTTCTTTTCTAAGATATTTATAAAGATTCATCAGATCATAGTACATAAAAAATACAGAAGTTAAATACCACTATTTTAAAGACGGTAAATATTTAAACAAGAATAATCAGTCTACTAGTATTGGCGAAATAATGATGTATGTAATTTGTATATACAAATAAAAAATACAGAAAAAATTAAAAGCCACTATTTTCAAGACAATATAAAAAAATGTGGAATAGAATAAAACTTGTTTGTACATGAAAACAACCTCACAAAGAGGAATTTCTTTAGAACATGCAATCGTAAGTTAATTTTATTTGTAGAAGTTTTCTATTAAGCATATAATTAGATGCATTGTTAGCATGCTTACTACTCTAGTATTTATCCGTCTATACTAATAATATAAATGCGAAAATTTGCCTGTCTGTTTGTTACTTCTTACAACTAAACTGATGTTAATGAAATTAGCTATTAAGATGTATCACGAAGATGTACCTGCTTTATTTTTATCTAAAACAATAAACACAAAGGAACTGAAATAAGGCATGAAAGGTTATACACATGAAATCGCTGGCAATAGGTAGTAATTTATAAATGTAAAAGAGAGATTGTTTGTTTATTTGTTGTTTGGCTTAACGCCTCAATCAATTCTTAGTATGTTTGGTATAGTTAATGATGGAAATTCGACAATAATTAATACATGTAAATTATAAATTTGTACATTATTGAAGTTCCATTGTCCAAAACTATACATCTATGTGTATGTGTCAAATTCATTGTAGTGTGTACAATGTTTTTTTAATAATTTAATATATTTTTAAAATGTATTAGCATTCTGCACTCCTTCTCTATATAAATTATAAGTGTGCGAAATTCCATACTTATCCATCAGGAGAATTTTCGTAAAAAGTTTTTGCTTAACGTATTAATATTATGATATTTTATTTCACTTATTAACGAGAGTGTAGTGGCTTAATGAATTACTACCCTAAAGGTCATGAGATCGAAACTGGTAGACACATGAAAAAAAATCATCTGACCAGATGATTTCTGTTATGGAAACAACCGAAATTAATGTAAGAGATGGTAATGGGCTCGCCCACTTGTTGGATTCGAATATAGCCAATGAAATGTGGGCACGTCAAGTGTTGTGTTCATTGCCATATCGACAGTTAACAATAGTTCTAAATACCCAACTGTTATTTAAAATATTACATCTATACATATAAATTAAATTGAAGTGTCTATTTGTAATATTGAAATAACTGTCTTTACTACATGCATATGAATATAAACACGGTATATAAACAAAAAAATATCATTTTTTAAAATTTTTGTCTGTCTGTTTGTTCCGGCTAATCTCTGAAATGGCTGGACCGATTTTGACGGGACTTTTACTGGTAGGTAGCTGATGTAATAAGGAGTAACTTATGCTACTGTAACTCGCAATAAAATAAAAATCGCATAGCTAGCAATGTATCACGTCAGGTTGACCTCCACACGGTTCCTCCCCAGGAAATCAATACGATAAATTCTTCGTGATTTTTTTTACGATGGGCTCACTGATCTGATTTATGCTCATCTTATCATCCTCCACTGATGCCCGTAGGTGATACTCTATTTCATTATCATTAATTAAAAAACAAAGGTGTATTTAATGTCATAATCGCCTCTAAGAAGTATTAAGCAACAATTTTTCAGATCGATGTATTAACATGTTGCAATTACACAGATGATGTTTAGGGTAAAAGCTTGTAAAGTCATAATTCATGAGTCAATATCTAGACTATAGTATACATCATCAATCTTCATATTTTCCTAAGCAATGTCTGACAAGAACCATTCCTCTTACTAAATTGCCACTGTATACCGATTTCTTAGGAACACGACTGAGTTTTGAAAGTTTCTCAATGGCTAAAAGTCATTTGAAACTGTCGTGAAATTGAACTGGGTCCAATATTTATGTTGCTAGTTCTTTTTCCACTATTGAGTCATGTATATAGTAGTATGAAATCGTATTTCAGTCGAACGTCAGTTTAATCGATTATTTATAAGGACTACGCTGTTATAACACAAAGCATAGTTTAGTGATTTGCGCCTTTGAATTACACACCAAATATCGCAAGTTCGAACATTACAAGCAAAAATTTGTATGTGTTGATTTATATATTGCAGAA